GGCCAGAGGCAGAGCCGGGACCCCCTGGAGCCAGCGCAGCGCCCGCCGCGAGGAGGGGCCGAGAGGTGAAGGCAGAAAGGCAGCCCTGGAGAAGCAGCCCCTGTCCTGCCCCACGGGGCTTGGTCATGTCTAATGTCCTGCCCCTGCCCACCGGCAGGGAGCTGTTGGAAATTGTTGTGCCATAAATGAGTTTTTTCACAATTTTTTTCGTTTCCCAGCTTCTTTTTTTTCCTGTTCTGTGATTTCTTGGTTTCTGACACACGATTGACTTCGTTTTTTATCTAACCATGACATAACCAAACATCTTGGCAGCACTCACACCTGCCATCCCCTTCCCTCCTGGCAGTGGCTGTGGGTGCTTCCCTGCTCCCATGAGCATATACTATTGTATTATATACAATAAGAATCTAACATATGTCAACATAATCTAAATATAATAAAACACCTTGCATACTTACAGCAAAAGGCTGGGAACCAGCTAGACTCAAAGGTCACCTTGTTCAAGGCACAGCTCTGTTGTGAAAATGGGCCCTGTATAATAGGATGTTTTGGTTTTCTACAGTTCTAGACAAGCCTAGTGAAAACTGATGGAATTGCTAATTTTTTCCACTGGGGGAATTGCTTGGCCTCCACTGCTGCTAATGAAGACAATACTGGCTCAAGGAACAGTGTGGGTAAATCAGCCAGAAAAAAAAAAGGCTGGAAACAGATTTCTAGGCAAGAGATTGTGAAGAGACCCAAATGAAGAGGGGACAGGGCACAGCAGGGCTGGCAGGGCTGGCTGCTGGAGGTTAAGCAGCAATACGGACATCTCCTTCAAAGCCAGAAAAGCAGCAGACAAAATAACCCATGAAAACTGCTTGTTACATTCCGGGGTATATTTACAGCAAGGTAAAATCTTGTCAATAGATGTGACCCTGAGTTTGTCACCAAAAGGAAGGCAGTGGGGTAGTCAGCTGCCTTGCAAACCCAGGTGCAAGCCCACCATTGCCCCACTGCCTCCAGATAAGGTGCTGTCCTGTTGCTCTCATTCCTTCAAATACTAAAAATCTCTTTCAATTCCAAGGCCAAAAACCTCTATGTGATAAGAAACCAGCACACTGGAAGGCCTCCAAAAGGAAAAGAGGAGATTCAATCATGGATGTCAGCAGCTACAAAAGGAGATGGGGCTATTAGAAACATCATTGATGATACACATTGTCCTTCACTCCTGATGGTTCACAGCCCCACGGAGTTTTCAGAGTTTATAAAGCAGTTCTCTTTGCAGACAGGGAATCTCAAATCTCCCTATGCTCCAGACTAAATCAGCAGTATCTGGAACTGAAACCTTAGTGGAAAACATCACCAGATCACATTGGGGTTTATGGAAATTACCAGCACAAACATCACCAGCCAAAGCATGGTAACACTGCACAGGAAAGAAACTGATTAGTGCGAGAAGCAATTCCTGGATTATTTACTCATTTTGTCATATTCCTAGCAGGAAGAGCCCTTGGGCAAGGATTTCAGGGTAACGTTCAAGGGAAACAGCTACTCGTGAATGTTGAGATTCATGTCCCACCAGTTTCTGCTTCCTTGGCAGTTGGCTTTTTTTAAACTGAGGAAACTAGAACTGGTTGCATTCTCTCAATTTTACCTCATGAATCGTGCTGCAGTACAAAAGGGTGTTGTCTTTGAGCTACAGCTAACCAGAAATAAACACAGTCCAAAAGCTCCAAAACAACCCTCTGCCCTTTTATTGTGCTGCATATGTTGCTCAATGCCACAAAACCTCTTATTGCTTCAGCTGCACAGGGTGACTTACTTGGTGAACTTCCATCCAAAACAGTCTCAGAAGACCACATCTAGATTTATTCCCCCTTTGCATTTTCTAGGAGACATGTGGATTGCTATTACAGCATTGGCACAGGAAAAACCACTTTGATTGCTGTTACATTCTCTTTCAAGAAATACCTGTGATTGCATTCTTTCAGTGTACCCCTATGTAATACCAACAGAGTATTTTAGGTAGGCCATTATTTGAAGGCTGTGCCCACCCTCAGCTTTTTGAAGTGGTTTGGTCTTTATTGCACAAGTCTCCAACAACAGCCCCTGCCACCTGTGAGCTGGCAGACCAAGCACCAACTAAATCCAGGCTTTAAAAAACAAAGAGCAGTGATTAAACCAAAGAGTTAAGAAGATTCACAGTTGTAGATTATGAAGAAACTTCTCACAGGATCCTAAGAACAAACAGAAGAAGTGTGGAATGTAGATGGACAGCCAAGCAAGATGCCTCAGTAATCAGAAACATAAAAAGGAATAAAATTCCATGTTGTTTTTCACTTTTGTGCCTGCCTGTGGTTTTGCTCCGTGCTTGTCTGTGCAGACACGTGGGAGGAAGGTGAGGATCAGGCAGGCTTTCCAGTGCTTGCCTCCTGAGAAGGAGCTGTAAATATTAAATATACATGAAAACAACCCTCATCCTATACAGTTCTCTAATGTTCCCAGTTTGCAGGCTGGCTCAGATTTTGTCATTCGTGTCTCAACATCTTTGAGAAGACTAAGTCTGAAATAAAACCCAGATGCATGTGTTGAGTGACCTGTAGGGCTTCAGCTTTTTGGATAAATTTAATGTTTCAGGTCTTAAACTTTGCCCAGCTTCCACCCCCCAAAGATACAGGAAAGGCCTGGTGGGGGGAAACACACTGCAGTTTCTGTGTTAGAAAGAATGACAGTGCTCTGACAGTTCCATGTAGAACTGGAGGTCACAGAAGATGTTGCAAAAAAAAAAAAAAAAGGCAGGAAAAATGGTAAGATAGATTCGTTCATTTCATCATCTTCATCAACACAGGTGTCAGTTGCTCTTTCAGCTGTGGATCAATTTGAATGTTGCTCAGTTCTTTGATATTGAGGATCATCTCATGGGCTTGGAAGAAAAGCTCTTTCCCCACCGCATCCTCCACCCGCCTGCGCCACTCCCTGAGCCTGGGCCTGTCCTCGAAGATGTCACAGCCAACTCCAACAGGCTGCAGAAAGGGGGAGAGAGCAACAGTGAGGCCTTGGGCAGTCACTTCTTCACCAAGAAAACAGGCACCAAAAGTGTACCTGCAGGTACAGGCAGAGGTAAAACAATGAAGAAGAGCTCACAGAAGCAGCAGGAAGGAGGGGAAACTCCTCTGGTGTGTCTAGCTGGGGACACAGAAGCTACCCTGTGCTTCAAAGGGCATTTACAAGTTAATTCCTGGGTGCTGGAGTGAGCAGCAGAGATGACTGCCACTTACTGTGAGAGATTTTCAGCCACAGCATTGAAGATCACAGTGGGCTGACAGTTCCAGGGACAACTGCACAGTCTGCAGTGCCACATCATGTAGCAGAACCACAGCACAAAACACCACGTATTTAACTGAACTGGTGTCTTAGCTGGTTTCGTCTGCCCCTCTTCTCCCTTCTGCCTGTGCCACTCTGTGGAGAGAAGCTGAACTGCTGTTTTTCAGTCTCTGTGACACTGAATTGGGAGAAACAATCACTTCTGGGCTGCAGGATTCAGGCCTTGACAATCTGGCAAGGAACAAGCAGTTTGTAACAGACTCAATTTGATTGCCTCTGGCTGTTGTTCAGTCCTGCCTCCTCCAGACATGGCAATGGGCAAGTAACAGCTGAACAGGAATATTAGTGATTTATAAAAATAGTCCTATATCCCTCATCAGACCTGTCTGCTATTGCCTCTTATCTTTACATATAAAAATGAAGTCATGATAAAGGATGAAGGAGGATGAGAAGTATTGTTAGAGGACAGAAACAACAGAGATCTATTGCAGTCAGCTTTTTTTTAACCTGGTTTTCTGAACCCACTCCCATATTCTCCTGATTGTCCTAGGCCAGCTCTGCTGAGATGTGCCCTCACTCCTCTTTCTAGGGTAGTGTTACCACCTGCTGCACCCCTACCTGCCCACAGCATCTGTTCTGCCTTGTACTGAGCCCTCCTTACCACACTCCAGCACTCACTTGCATGAGCTCCACAATGGCCACAAGGTCCGCCAGGGAGATCTCACTCCCAATGATAAAAGCCTTGTCCTGCAGAAACCTCTCCTCAAATTGCTTCAGGGAAGTGGACAGCCCTTCCATAACCTCCTGGAGCTTCTCGGAGGGCAGAGGCTGCCCTGTGAAGAGGGGAATCAGCACCTGAGGAGAGAAGGGACTTAGGAACACAAGCAGCCACCTGCTCAGGGACCTGGTGGTGGCCACTTAAGTTACACCCCAAGAGCTACTCTGGCTCTTCAGTGATCCTGCAGCAAAGCCACACGAGAGGTTGATGCTAGAGCTTCATGGGCTGCTGCAGTTCCAAGTGGCTCATGGACAGAGAACACACAAGCAGTCCCAAGTGGCAGATCTGCTGTGACAATGACCTCCAGCTCCTGGGCAGCACGTGCAGAACAAAGCCAAGGATTCAGCTCGTTTTCAGCCCAGCACTCGCGCCCTCCCACTCCTCCTCGGTGGGTTACAAAACAGGCAACAGCTCCAAGAAAGACAACTCTCTGCCACAGTCACCCCTGCAATGTCCTCTGTTCAACAGCCTGCCCAGATGGGTCAGCAGGCTGCCTGCCCACCTGCCACCCCTGCTGCCCGTCCTGCAGGCTAGCGGGGAGGAGGACGTGGTGGAGGCAGTGGCAGGGAGCTTGGGAGGGACTGGAATGCATCAACACTGGCTGGAGAGGCAGGAAATGGCTTCCTCTGTGTGACAGCAGCCAGCAAGGCTGGGAGTGGGCAAGTGCCATTTTTACACCAGCCTTTCTGTGGCCTCCCAAACATCGTTCTTTAAACCACTAGAACTTTTTTCAGACCAATCATGTCAGTGCGGTCCTTGTCTCCAGGGACTTTCTGGCACAGGGGGTAGTTGCTTTTCCATGAGATCTGTCAGCATTCACAGAGGTGCAGGCACTGTTGGGGCCCTCAGTGTTTCACAACTGCTCTGCCTCCACCTACCACAGCTACAGAAATGCAGTTTATTTAAAGAAGCAAAATCAAAGAGACAGATTTCCATCAGAGGGAGTGGACTGCATTTCTTCTTAGGGCCAGTGTATTCAACAATTCAAGTTGGGATTGCTTCATCCAAGCCAGAATTTTTGCCAAATACATGTGGAATCTATTTAACCAGAAAGTTCATGGCAAGTTCCCTTCCTAAGTGGTTCCAATTATGCATGATAGGATCTCTGGGTAGAACCCCTTGAAACATCATCTCCTTCTTTTCCTGTATCTTGGGGCAGTCTATCTTTTCTCCTGTCTAGCTAATAGGCCAGTTGGATTTCTCTCCCTCAGCACTGCAGTAACAGCCTGCAGAGATTGGAAAAAACTGCTTCTTGTATAAATCTGACTCATATTTGAATTGTTTCTCCGTGCTCTCTAGCCAAAAATTCAAATGTTGATAAGCCAAAAAGCTAAATGAGTCCTCATAGGCTTTCTTAGTCACAAACAATGGCAAACATTCCACAGGAAGAGTGAAGTTCTTACCTGTTTACTGGCAACCCTGATTTCATCTGAAATTCCACACCACAGCTCTACTTGCAGGGCTACATTTGCACCTGAGCCTTCTCAAGGATACTTGCTTGAACTGCTTCATGGTTGGCTGGGAATAAGTGTCCAGCAAAACCATCTGATAGTAAATGTTCTGCCTCAGGGTGATTCTGGACCACACTGAATACAGAAATTCTGTCACTCTCTTTGTGTCTCTGCTCTGTCTATCCCTGAACCCATTTCAGAGGAGGGTGCTGGATGCAGAAGGCTCCTTCTGGATTTCCACCCTGATGGGACTGCAGGGACTTGCTGTGTGAAGAACACAAGCCTTTCTGCTTCCAGCAACAAAGTATATGCTGGCCAAAGAAGCAAAACTTCTAAGTGCACACTCTGCACAGCTGTGCAGGGAGGGGCCTGAGGCCTCAGTCCCCAGCACCACAGAATCATGGAATCATAGAATGTTTGGGGTTGTTAAAGACCTTTAAAGGTCTAGTTCAAACCCCTCTGCAGTGCACAGGGAGCTTTTTGACAAGATCAGGTTGCTCAGAGCCTCCTTGAATGTTTCCAGGGGATGCTCTTGGAGGCCATCCCCAATCTATTACATAGGAATCTACAAATCCAGGCAATGGAATTCTGTTGGTCTTCAAGACCTTCTGTACCAGCCCTACTTTAAGGAAAAAGCCAAAATTACCAAAGCTGCTTTTGCCAGATCCTGTCAGAGAGCAATCAGGAGCAGCTCCCTCTCTGACAGCTCCTCTCAGCTGGGGATGGCCCAGGTTTGCTATCTCAGTGTGACAAACACTCCAAACTGGGGCTGTTCAAGTGCTCAACATTCTGCCAGGAAAGCACCTCCTTTACTCACATTTTAATATTTGGTCTCCTTACCTTGATCCACATGGTCTTGGGAGCATTAGCCCTGATGTTAGCATGGTGCCAGGAGAGGTACTCATCTACCTGGGCCCGTTTCTGGATGTCTGATGGGTACCAGTGGTCGGGAGTGTTGTACTTTCGAGTCAGGTACAGCAGAATGGCAGTGCTGCTCAGACAGCAAAAAGAGACATGAAAGGGGCCAGAGAGTTAGGATGCAGAAAGCTTTCAGCTAAGATCCCTCTCCTGCCCCTTCTGAATGTGCTGCTTCCACTCAAAAGCCTTTGGATCACAGGTTATGCATAGGCATCTAATTCATGCTGACAACAGAGATGGCACCTGATCACCTTAGTTCCCCTGAAAACTTCAACCTGCTGGAAAATCACAGCACTGCTCCATGGTTAGTGCTGCTGGATGGTATTAAGGTAAAGAATAAAAAACCTTCCATAATAATCTATCAGCAATCTTAATCCCACTTATTCCTCAACTGTTCTCACCCATCTCTCTGAGACCTCTGCATATTTATGAACTTTTGTACTAAATGAAACTCCCTAATGAGTCATGTTGCCTTTTCACCTGATTTATCTCCTTCTAGCCTGCAGCTTCCATTGAAGTCAGTGGAATTCCCAGCAAGGAGAGCCTACAGAATCTTTTTGTGTTGGTTCAGATGTTTATACTTTCACTAATCCAAATGGAAAAATATCTTAGTCATCTGCAACAATATGTAGATTGTTACTATGGAAAGTGATGCCACAGAAAATCCTGTGCTGACAAAGCAGAAGCATTGCAGACTCTCCTTCTCTGCTGCTACTACAGTAGTTCAATTATTTCAGTATTTTCACACAATTAACCAGTCTCCATAATAGTCTTATAATGTAAAACCTCGATTTTACTTCTGTAAGTGTTAGCTTGGCCTTCATGACTAATTCAGATAAAGAATTTTATTTTTTCCCTAGGATAAAAGAGTTGTTGGGTGGTTTTGTTTGTTTGTTTGGGTTTGTTTTTGTTTTCCTAGGGTAGAAGGGATTTTTTATAAGCTTTAAACATTTCCCAGAAATGTTTATAATCCCATTTTGAGGTAAGTGCTTTCAGGAGATGATCAAGAACTTAAGTCAGATGATTTGTTTACATTCTGAAAGATAATTCAGACAGAAAAAGAAAACAGAGCAAATGAGGTTACCCTATTAAAAAGAACAAACATGTCCATACATTCTGTGGCTCTTAATAATTCAGTGGGAATGACATCTCCTAAATACTGCACAGATTAATGATATCCAAGGAAGTCTAAGGACTGAGTTCTTACCATTCTGCTAGGGTGAAGTCTCCATCCTTTAGTGCTGGTACTTTCTTCAACAGGCTGACTTTGCCAGCTCCTTCACTATTTGATGGCCCTAAGAACATGAACAGACAAGTCAGGGGTTGGAACTGTATCTGCAATGGATGATCAGTGAAATACCTGTAGCTGGACAATCAGTGAACTGTGTTAGGTTT